GGATACATTTTTAATTTCGCTACGTGTTTACCAAGGACATCCTGGGATCAACATTTATTCCATAATTTTTGTATCGTATTTTATCAGCTTAAAATATTGAAAAACTGAAAAAATAATGCATGATAATGTTGTTACAAATTTGCATATTTAGTAAAAGCTATAGACATCACAGTTTACAGTTATTTTTGTATCAACTAGGCACAATAATCTGTTAAAGTTTCAAGAAATTTACTTTTTATTAATGCAAAAATGATGAATTTTAAAATCATTCTGGAACTCTATGAAACTCTTATATATATACATATCGAGCGTTTATAAATAACAGTAATGTCATCGAGTACAATACGGGGAATGAGTCATGATTATACTGAATCTACTATTGTTTTGACGTTTTTCTCTTTCTTTCTTTGTCATTTTCGTTTGTTTTCAAATTTAGATAAGAAAAGAATGGCTAATCATCAACATCATCGTAATGAAACATCGAAACCTGAAACAAGTTATAATGATTGTCAAAAAGCTGATGATAATGAATATGATGATACTGAACAACCAGTAGGAACTAATTTAACTCATGAATTTAGTTTTAAAGATGCGAATGAAATTCTACGTGATTTATGTCATGATCAAGATGAACAAGCAACAAAAGTTAAAAAGCGAAAACAAAAATTTCAAGTTCATCATCTTCAAGAATTATTTGAAACCAAATTAGGTGCCAAACATGTTGATTATGAACAATCTACAGCATCTATTGTCAAGTAAGAAAAACAAATATCGAATTGTATAATCAGTTTGATAATTTTTCTTTTTTCTATTTAGAAAATGTTGTGAAGAATTTTCATCTGATAATGATGAACCATTTTATATTGTTAATCTATCTCATTATGCTCGTCAATATTTGCAATGGATGCATTTTCTTGGTCGTATTCATCCTTTTTATGCAATTAAGAGCAATCCTAAGAATTTCATTATTGAAATTATTGCTGAATTAGGTGGTGGCTTTGATTGTGCTTCATCTGAAGAACTCAATCTAGTACGTGAAACATGTGGTAATAATTTTGATTATGCTACACGTATTATCTTTGCTCATCCATGCAAATCTATATCTCATATTCGACAATTTCGTCAAGTAGGTGTACAAATGACAGTAGCGGATAATGAAGATGAACTTAAAAAATTAAAAGAACATTGGCCCGACGCTAAAGTAAGTCAATAAATAAAAAGTCAAAAGATTACTTTCATAAAATTATACTCATGACTTTTTTTTTCTCATTTAAATAGGTTCTTCTTCGTCTTAAACCTGATGATAGACATTCACTGAGTCCATTTTCAATGAAATTCGGTGCTAACGAACGTGAATGTATTACTTTACTTCGATTGGCTCGTAAATTAAATATTAACCTTGTTGGATGTTCATTTCATGTCGGTAGTCAATGTCTTGATCCTAAAGTCTACACAGAAACTCTTAAACAAGCACGACGTATTTTTGATATTGCTCAACAAGATGAATTCGGATTTAATTTTAAAATATTAGATATTGGTGGTGGTTTTTCAGGTTATGATTGGGATAAACCAAGTTTTCCTGAAGTTGCTAAAATAATTAATAATACATTGGATAAATTATTTCCTAAATTAGAAGGTAAATATGTATATCAAATATCTATCGTCCCAGATATAATATGTCTACAAAAAAAAAAAAACAACAGATAATTCGATCACTTTGACTACTTATAAGATCAAATAAAAAAATTCTCTTATAGATATTACAATAATATCAGAACCTGGCCGTTATTTTTCATCTGGAGGTATGACATTAGTCACTCGTATTATTGCTCGACGTATTCACAATCGTGTTTATAAATCAAATGAAAAAATCGTGAAACTTGAACGTAATATATCTGGTAGTACATCAAATTCATTCGAAAATAATGATGACAGTGATAACAATTCCAAATCTGACAAAGCACTTATTGAAAATGCCGATAATATTTATTATATTAATGATGGTATTTATGGAACATTTAATGCTATTATATTTGATCATAAAACATTTATTGTACATTATTTAAAAATGAAAAAAGATAAGAAAAAAAAATATCCACAATTTCGATCAGTTATATTTGGTCCAACATGTGATTCAACTGATTGTATTGCACATTCGATTGATTTACCATTATTAGATATTGGTGATGTTTTATGGTTTCCAGGTGTTGGTTCATATACAAATGCAAGTGCTTCGAATTTTAATGGATTTCAAACAAAGAAATATATTTTTATTTGGAAAAAATAATTTTTATGATATTGAACAAAGAAATTATATAATCAAGTTGTGTGATTCATATCTAAGCAATATTATTGTGTAAATAAAATGTCTAAGAATCATATTTCGAGTTAATCAGATATTTCAATTAAGTTTTTATTCTTTAAAATATTCGATATGTTTATATGAACAAAGAAAAAAACAAACAAATCTTATTAAATCTTTCATTTATTTTGAAAGTTTTTTGTTGCATATTAGCGTGTGTAGGTAAGACTTAAGTACTTTAAAATATTATGGTTGATCAACGAAGAATGATATATGATAGTAAAATTAAAAGAAATTCTGATTCATCTATATATATATACAGTAAGTATTGAAATAAAGCTATCATTTATTGAGTAATGATGAGAAAACATGGAATAATGCAGGATTATTTAGTATTTTATTTTTAAGTAAATAAAAAGTCATAGCATAGAAAATAAATCCAATGTCTTGCAGAGATGTAAAAATTTTAGGATAAGTTTGTAGTAGGTTAAAATTCAACATTAATCTTGTAAAATCATAATAGAGAAAAAATTTCATCATTTTTTTTTGTTGATCCATTGTAGATACCATTGATACATATAAAGATCAAATAGTATATATGACTGTCTCTTTTCATCTTCGGTTTTCTATATTCTTATTACAAACAACAAAATATGCAATCAATACTCTCTCTTTTCTTGTTAGTATTCATCATCACTATTGCCAAATGACAGATATAGGTTGATGTTTATACGCTAAAACTCGATTGTAATACTATGAAATATTGCTGTTTTTATGGACAAGTCACTGTAAAACGTTCCTCTTTGAACCTCTAACGAGAGAACGCTTTCAACTACTCAATCACTTTTGAGTTCGGACTCTGTACGTAAGGTAAACTTGTAGTCTATAGTATGGTATATGTCATGCCATAGGCTAAAATTACAGTACAATATGTATAGAGTTCGAACTCAAAAGGGATTAGACAGTTGCAAACGTCTCCTCGTCAGGAAAGACATGTACCAATTCTCTTTGCATGATATCATTGTAGAATACGTTTATTACCGCATTCAATGTCTTCGATTGTATAGACGCTGATTTTTGACTCTGACAAGAGGACCTTCCCAGCTGCTGCCAAAAAGCTTTTGAGCTGCAGTTTTGTTCACAAATAGGGAATGCATACACTGAAAGAAATCTAAGAATGAAGTATTTCCAATATACTAGTATGTTAGCGCAAAGACGTTTGTGTTATGGAAATTGTGTTATGCATGGATATTTTGGAAAATACATATCTTGGAGATGATTTGTTCAAAAATGTCGAAACTTTGATTCTACCGCAAAAGTGGGATCCTGCAGGAAAATTGTAGTAAAATGTCGGTATTTCAGTCAAATTGCAACTGGCGCTCATATTATCCAATGCTTTCTCTAATCTCTTCATCCTCTACTTGTGAGTAAAATTTCAGCTGAAAAACTATTTAGAACCTGAAAAGGTTCTCTCGTGAGGCAATTATATTATGAAGATTTGCAATGCTAGTGAGTAATTCACAAATGCATCACATTCAATTGCAATTTATATTCTGCATGAACTGACATATATAGCAGTCTCATAAAGCGATTAGACAAGCGAAAAGAAAAACAAAAAATTAAATGAACCATCAAAAAAAGGCTGTTAGCGCAATTCCTAGGTGATTAAAGTGTGAAACACAGTGTAATTGCTCTTGTTAATCCCTGGGAGATTGTTTTATTCTATCTATGCTGAGACACATTTCTTCACCATTCTTTCACTTAGTCCTCCACAACTGTAACAAAGAAGTAGTTCATATATTATAACAGGATGTTATTGATGTACCCTCTATGATCGTATATCGATAATGTCTGTCACAGTCTGTGCAGAGTTCAAAATTTTCACTCTATACTTCAACACTAGTTATAAATCGTGTTTTACAAAAAAGTGAAACACATATTCAGTTTATATGAAACAAGTGCATTAAGTAAAATCGAGCTTTATTTGAATAATTTTTATATTCTCGATAACAAATTAATGCAATTTAGTAGTTTTTTAATTTGCACATCTCCCGTCGTAATTTGATTAGATAACATAAGACATTTGATGTTGAAGCTTTTAGCCTAATGACAGTCTATACTGTTCAATATGAAAATATTTATCAGAATAAAAAATTTCTCTTTAACCTTTTAATAATAATCCATCAACGAATCCACATATTATTTTGTAATAGATATACAAAATAGATCATAGATTTACTGAATAAAATTGAAATTTTACAATTTTCATAATCAAAGAATTAAAATTAAACCATAAATCAAATTTCATGCTATAACAATATTGATTTTAATCAGTAGAAATTCACATGAGAATCAAGTTTGACTATCGAAAAATAGTTGGTCTCCAATGCGTATTAACAGTATAATAATAAGACTATATATTCTTCTGGCATTTCTTTTTCCGTATTGGGAGAACAGAAACAAATGTTCCTCACTACTTTTTCTTTTTTCTCCGAATAAGTGCAGATCGCTGAACTCAGTTTGTTCTGTTCTCTTTATGTGTTTCAGAAAAGCAACTTCTTTTTCTCTCCTTTTTTTTTCTTTTTTCTAACAACATAAAACGTCGATTATTGGTAGTGCCAGCTTTAACTTAACCATGTTTGACTCTACTCTATCAAGCAATGATGAAAACGAATCATTGTCATCAAAATTTTTATATATGACAAATAATTCATTAAATATAAAACAAAGAACTAAAAATAGTTCATATTCAATATTATTTTGTGCAATGATAATTTTTCAAATAATTGCATATGGTTCTTATTCAATATTAGTTCATTTATGTGAAAAAAATGGTATGATTACATTTTCATCAGTAATAATGAATTTTATAATTGAATTTATAAAATTATTATTTTCTCTTCATGCTTTTATATGTTTAAAACGAATTCATTTAAATAAAATTCAAATTTTCTTATGGTTTAAACAATCAATATTATATTCAATACCAGCTATTCTTTATTTTTTAAATAATAATTTAGCTGTACATATACAAATTCATATGGATCCAACATCTTATCAAATTTTATCAAATTTTAAAATATTTACAACAGCTATTCTTTATCGTTTAATTATGAAAAAACGATTAATAAAACAACAATGGTTTGCATTAATATTACTTTTTTTTGGTGGTCTTACTTATAGTTTAGGTACATTTAAAAGTTCATCATTTATTTCAAAGACTATTACAAATTCAACTATAATAATGCGTGAAACGTATATACGTCCATTAGGTATTCCAATGATAGTTATTTATTGTACATTAAGTGGTCTTGCTGGTGTTTATAATGAATGGATTTTAAAAAGAAATTATAGTGAATCACTTCATCTACAAAATATATTTCTTTATACTTATGGAACTTTTTTTAATTTAATACCTGCTATTAGTATGATGATAACAACTTCAAAAACAACTAATCATCTAAATCTATTTCATGGTTTTACATTTTATACATGGTTAATTGTAATTACACAAGTATTAAATGGTTTAATTATGTCTGTAGTAATAAAATATTCTTCAAATATAATAAGATTATTTATTATATCATTTTCTTTAATTATAACAGCTTTTCTTTCGTTTTTTGTATTTCATATTAATTTTAATATTTATTTTTTTATTTCTTTTGTCACGATGATCTGTGCATTTTCACTTTATTATACGAATTCAATAATTTCTATCGTTTAAAACAAAAAGAGTTAGAATTTTTATTGCCTTCACAAATGTATATCTACTTTGATTGAATAAAAAATTTATTGACCTGAAATAATTTCATATAATTGATTTATATAAAATCATTCATTCATGTTGCTAGAGAAATACTAAATATAAAATCTTTGAAAATGAGAGAAAGAAAAAAGGATTTTAAAGTTTCTTTTACTGGTTGTTCAGTTTATCCTATTGAACTATGTCGCATGGTACTAAAGAGGTCGTTGTGTCCGAAAAGAAATCATCCGAGTTTTTTCAGAAAGACATATCATAAGAGTGAGCAAGTTCTCTTTCACCTCTTATAAAACTATGCATGATCTTCGTCTTTTTAATATATTGTAATGTCACACATGAAACAAGCATTTATTGGAGATATGTCTTTGATATTTCTTTTGTTTCAAGTAAAGTTTTAATTTGTATAAGATCAAATAACATTAACCTCTTGGATCCCGATAATTTCTTGCGTTCTGTATAATATGGATAAAAATAAAAAAATCACTCTCTCTTGCGTTCTGTCGAGTTCAATCAGCTGTATGTATATGTCACAGATTATCGATTATAAAACATGGACTCGTAATGCCTTTATAGTGTGTTCTTGATACGACACGAAAGAAATAGAAACTATGTGTACCTTGAACAAGAGAAAATCTGATGAAAGAGACAGAATATTTGTAAGAAATCACTATATTCAAAATTTACAATGGAGAAGCGTAACGTTTTCGACGATAGCAGCGATAGTGAATACGAGGAAAAATCTATGGTGGCTTTATCAGATTCAGAAATTGATGAAGTAGAGAAACAATTAATCAATACGAATCTTCGTTACGAGAGTGAAGAGTATAGGTAATAATTTGATTCTATTCAACACTAATAGACTAAAGCAAGATTTACTTTCTAGTGATGACGATACCGTCTATCCTTATGGTACTGTTGAAAAAAAGGACGAAGCTTTGTATAATGAAAAAGAAATTTATGATAGTGAAGAATATAGGTAAAGATCTCACTCTGTTTGATTTTTGACAGATGAAAGTATTTTTGCTGTGTAGTGATGACGATGTTATATATCCAAATCGTTCAACTAGTTCCTCATCAAATTCAGGACAAAGTATCGATGGACAATGGATAATAGTTGAACCTGGAAATGATAAGATATCACGAGTCTTACCAGCTTTTCAAGAAAAAACTGGACCTAGTTTTCCAGTTAGCTCTTGTTCTTCACCGGCTGATTTCTACAATGAAATGCTACCTGATTCATTATTTGATCATATTGTTATATGTACTAATACGCGTGCTCGTGTTCATTTTGATAATACTATATCATTATCACAAAGTAAAGAATCATGGAAACCAGTAAGACTTTTTTCAAAATTCTAAACATATTCAAAATCTTCATGTTAAGGTTTCACGTGAAGAAATAAAAAAGTTTTTCGCCACTGTTGTTCATATGGGTTTAATTCGGAAGAAATCAATTAGAGATTACTGGTCGACTGATCCCTATATGATAACACCGATATTTCATTCTTCGCAATATTTGTCTCGTAATCGTTTTTTTTCTATTCTTCGGTAATTATATTTTCTTTCATCAATACAATAAATTCAAATTCTCTTTTTTCGATGTAGCTTCATTAGATTTGCTGACTGCAAAAATTTGAATCAGAACGATCGATTACAAAAAATTCGACCTTTTCTTGATAAAGTGAAGGAACTATGTCAATCAAAGTATATTCCATCGAGAAATATTGCTGTTGATGAAACTCTCACGCTTTATAAAGGCAGATTAGTATGTGAATTTCTAGTAGATATTTCAAAGATATAGTATCATTTCACAGTTGTTTAAACAATATAATCCACGAAAAAGAGCTCGATTTGGAATAAAGACTTTTGCTTTGTGTGACTCATCAAATGGTTATCTTATTAATTTCGAAGTCTACACAGGGCAAGGTGAGAAATAATTTTATTTTTTTTTATTTTTGGAAAGATATTTAATTTGCAGGAACAGATGCATGGGCACATAATTTTACGGATGCTCAAACATTTTCAGTTTCTGAGAAAGTAGTAATTCATCTAACTGGCCATCTTTTACAAAAGCAATATAGTGTCTATGCCGATAATTGGTTTGTGAGTGTCCGTTTGGCACGATGGCTAATGGACCATGGTACAACAATCACTGGAACTATCAAAAAGAATCGAGGTGATTTTTTAAATTTCAGTCAGCTGTTATTATCTTGATTGAAAATTCTTCGGTGCATCCATCTCAGTGAAGTTATAAGAACCTTGAGAATTACACTCAACCAAAAAGAAAAAGAAAGACCATTAGTATAGTTTCTTACAAAAGTCTTCCAATTGAACGTGGTACCCTCGGATAGATCAATTAAATCTGAAAGGAAAAACAAGAAAAATTTATAATTTATAATTTTTAACTGAACAGTTAAAAGATTCTATTGAGCAAATGAACGAGAACTTCAAGATGACACTTGCAAAGCTCTTCAATAATGCTTGACTGAATTCTTTGTTGATCATCAGATATTCCCTTGATTTTCTTATTCATAGCCTTACTGACTTTTCTTCTTGATTGTTCTCCTTGTTTTGTAATGAATCGATATAACGATTTGATGATGAGTGTTGAGTAAACCATTATTTGATGTATTATATAAAGAAGTTCCGTTTATATAAAGCAACCAAATATCATCAACACTCAAGAATTCAATCAAAAAAAATCAACAAAATCTGGATGAAAATCTATACTTTTTATATGTAGGAGTGCCGAAGGAATTGGTGCAAACCTATTTGAATGCTCCGGCTTCCTGTTTCATAAGAAATGGAGATATCTTGATAGTGAAATTTGCTGACAAAAAGGCAACTGGTAATAAAGAAATTTATGTAATTGATTCAAAAGGTATAGCCGAAACCGTAGATGTTGAACGATTCGAAAAGGGTAACAATTTTGTTTTCTCAAAAATAAGTCTCTCTGATCATTTATAGGAGGCTCAAAAAAAAATTTTTCAAAACCATTATCAATAGTTGATTACAATCGACATATGGGAGGGGTTGATCTAAGTGACAGTTCACTCCATCATGCACATATATGTCGCAAATCATACCGATGGTTTGTAAAGTTGGGCATTCATTTTGTATCACGACTACTTTTTAACGCATTTGTCATGTACCAGATGTTTGTATCCAATGCACGTTTTTCTAAATTTCTCTGGAGGTTAGAAATTCTCTTTCTAAAAAGGATTACTATACTGTTCTTATAGTTTCTTAAAGGATACGATGGAGTCAATAGGAACAATTCGTATTCGTAGATCTCTCTCTCAATATACACCTGCTCAAAAGAGAACTAAATTGCAAACAAGCGATTCTCTTTGTTCAATGGTTCTGAATACTTCACATGTTTACAGTAAAGTTCAATTCAATTTGTATCAGATATGTTTTATTTTCTTTGATCCCTTTTCTTTTTTCAGGTAAAACCGAATATAACGAAAAAAGACAAGGTCGTACTTGTGCCGATATACACGTCACGGCTCACTGCTCTTCCTTTTTCCTCTTCCTCTCTCTATTGTTCTCTCTGTATCGTCTCTCTCTTTGTTCCTCTATCATATATAAGCTTGTGTTGAATGTGCAATAGGCACATTCTGGAGATGTGAGGTAGCTAATAAACATCGTTGTCGAGTAGCGGCTAGCTACTCCTTCAGTCTGTCATAACATCTCTTTCTCGTTTTATCGTTACAGTACTCAGAAACGATGTGTACTATGCTCTTCGAAAAAAATTCGAAAACAAACTATCTACTTCTGTCGAACATGTCCAGAAGAACCAGGCTTATGTTTTCCAGATTGTTTCGAAAGTTTTCATAGTGGATTACAAAATTCAAATTAGATCTGAAATAAGAGATTTTACTAACCAATAAATAACTAAAAAAGGAATTTCGTTATTCAAGCATAATCGGAGAAAGTTTCTTTGATAGTTTCTCGCATGTTAAAATTAAAAAAATAATAACAAGCGCCATTGCACATATGACCTATCTTCGATTCATTTTCTCCTCGTCAAACATATGTTATTGACACGACAGAACGAAAAAAAAATTCTTTCGTTCTGCTTGTCTTCAATTGAAGACAAGCGGGATTCAACAGGTTAAAAAAACCGATGACATATACAATATGTGTAATTCACCGTAAATTAAAATTTTATTACTTTAGAGAGAAAAAAAGTTTATTAATCGAATGCATGTATATAAATAATCGATATGAAATATTCTTCGTTCTGTTATAGTATGATTACTTTAGCAAGTTAATTACAATGAACCATTGTGTCAAGAAAGAAAAACTCAATTTTATAATAAAGTTAAACTTATTGAGTCAAGTCTTCAAGAAAATTGTTCTTCATTTTCTACAACATAATATTTCAATACGATATACTTGATGATGTGAGTTTGCATGTCGAATCTTTGCGACTAACCGCTGTGACACTGCAACTATCAGAAGTGAATGTAAATTTCACAATATCAGTTTCCATAAACAATGAGCCATTGAAACCACTTCAATATAGAACAGAATTATAGAAGATAATAACATAATTGCATCGATTAATGAAGCCAGAGTGTAGATCTAACGTGAGATACATACTTATAAAGTGTGTCATTCGAAAAACATATGATAGATGGACAAGGTTCAATCTTCTTATGACAAATTAATTATTCAATATATATTAATGAGACTTTGAATGATAATCAACCATTTGAAATAAAGATTTTCAAATGTGATAAATAACATTGAATCAAATAATTTACTTTCATGAAATTTCATTAATATTTAATCTTAAATATTTAGAATAATCGTTCAGATTTAGATCAACTGTTCGACGAAAGTTAGGGATGCACCAATTCCAATTCCAACCAATTCCAATTCCTAGAATTGGTTGGAATTGGTTGGAATTGGAATTGGAATTGGTAGGAATTGGTTGGAATTGGACTTGGAACTGGTCGGAATTGGAATTGGAATTGTAAGAATTGGAATTGGTCCATCCCTAGAGTTACCTAAAATTTGTATGGAATCACAGCAATGGGTACGGAATTGGTCTGAAACTGGTTAGACCTGGTTTCACGTGGATATAAATCCTGCGGAGTCCTAAGAATTGTTATGGAATTGGTCTGAAATCGTTTCGAATTGGATCGTACTGCCTACAATTCATATGGAATCCTAAGAATTCATACGAAACTGCTTTGAAACTCGCGACGCTTGGTGTCAGCTGCCTACAATTCATTTGGAACTCTGAAAACTTATATGGAATTGGTTTCAAACTGGCAAGGCTTGGTGTCAGCTGACTAGAATTCCTATGGAACTGGACAAATTTATATGGAATTGGTTTTGAACTGGCAAGGCTTGGTATCAGCTGGCTACAATTCCCATGGAACTCTAGAAATTTACATGGAATTGGTTTCAAACTGGCAAGGCTTGGTGTTAGCTGGCTATAATTCCTATGGAACTCTAGAAATTTATATGGAATTGGTTTCAAACTGGCAAGGCTTGGTGTTAGCTGGATACAATTCCTATGGAACTCTAGAAATTTCTATGGAATTGGTTTCAAACTGGCAAGGCTTGGTGTCAGCAAGCTACAATTCCCATGGAACTGTAGACATTTATATGAAATTAGCGTCAAACTGGCAAGGCTTGGTGCTAGCTGGCTACAGTGCCATAGGAACTGTAGAAATTTAAATGGAATTTGGTTCAAACTGGCAAGGCTTGGTGCTAGCTAGCCATAGTTCCTATGGAACTTTAGAAATTTCTATGAAATTGGTTTCAAACTGGCAAGGCTTGGTGTCAGCAGGCTACAATTCCTATCGCACTCTGGAAATTTGTATGGAATTCGTTTCCAAGTGGCAAGGCTTGGTGTCGGCTGGCTACAACTCCTATGGAACTCTAGAAATTTATATGGAATTGGTTTCAAACTAGCAAGGCTTGGTGTTAGCTGGCCACAATTCCCATGGAACTCTAGAAATTTACATGGGATTGGTTTCCAACTGGCAAGGCTTGGTGTTAGGTGGCTACCATTCCTATGGAACTCTAGAAATTCATATGGAATTGGTTTCAAACTGGCGAGGCTTGATGTGAGCTGGCTAGAATTCCTTTGGAACTGGGCAAATCCGTGGGGTTTCTGCCACAATGTTGAAAAAGTTTTTTTTTTCTCCGTTTTGATATTCTAGTTAGACGTATCTTTCTCGAAAGCGGCCAGAGGTAACAAAAGAAACATTGAGTGATATATAAAGTTTGGAGATCCAGGTCATTTTGTAGGAACACCTTGATGTATAGATGCTTTGTACTTCTATCACATTGCACAATGATGAAATTTTTAGCGTTTGTAGAGCTTTTAATTCTACACATTTTGAATAAAAAAGTTTTCCGAAAAGATTTTCGTTTGACGAAAATAGACTTAAGACACTATGCGTAGTTGAGAGAACTAGCAAAAAACGGTTTGTGAAAATTGCGCAAAAAAAAAATCATTTTTTGGTTTTTCACTGCTTAGCATGTCGAATATATTTCCTTCAAAAGAAAAGCTATTTGGAAAACTTTTTTTATCAAAATGCTTAGAATTACAAGCTCTAGAAACGCTAAAAATTTCATCATTGTCCAATGTGATAGAAGTACAATGCATATACATATTGACGTGTTCCTAGAAAATGACCTGCATCTTCAAACTTTATATATCATTAAATGTTTCTTTTGTAACCTCTGACCGTTTTAAACGAAGATACGTCTAACTCGAATACCAAAATCGACAAACAAAAATATTCCACAAGAGCGGCAGAAACTCCACGGATTCACCCAAATCTGAAAATTTATATGAAATTGGTTCCAAACTGGCAAGGCTTGGTGTGAGCTGGCTAGAACTCCTATCGAATCCTGGAAATCTATATGAACTTGGTTTCAAACTGGCTAGGCTTGGGTTGATTTGGCTATATTTCTCAGAGACTCCTGCAAATTTATGTGGAATCGGTTTCAGACTGGCTAGGCTTGCTTTCAATTGCCTAAAATTCTTATAGAAGCCTAGAAATTTATATGAAATTCGTTTTAAACTGGCTAGGCTTGGATTCAGGTGGCTATATCTATCCAGTTTGCAGCCGATTCCTTATAAATTTGTGGGATTCCGTAACAATTATAGCCAGCTGAAGCAAAGCCTAACCACTTTGAAACGAATGTGGTATAAATTTCTACCATTCCATAAGAACTATAGCCAGCTGAAGCCTAGCCTAGCAGGTTTCAAAACAATTCCATATAAATTTCTCGGATTACATCAGAAATATGACGAACTGAAGGGAAGCCTAGCCAGTTTGAAAAGAATTTCACAGAAATGTCTAGGATTCCATAAGATATATGGCAAACTGAAGCCAAGCATAGCCAGTTTGAAACCAATTTCATATAAATTTCTAGGATTCCATAGGAACTCTAGCCAGCTCACACTAAGCCTTCCCCGTTTGGAACAAATTCCATATACATTTTCAGAGGTCCAAAAGAATTGTAGCAATCTTTCAATTTTTGTCTGTTTTTGCTCTACATCATTACTCTTTATATGATACTGTCTTTTCTTTGTATTTGCTGACCGATTGACCTTTTTTTGACACGTTTCATATTTGTTGAACGAAACAGTCGGATACATTTATGTAGAGAAAAAAAAAGATTGGTCTACGTTTATTTCTAACGCTATTCCATCGACATAAACGGACGGTAAATAAAAAATTTCGATTTGTTTTTCTGAAAAAGTGTAAATAATGAGCTCCGAAACATATTTGATACAGTCTACCACATTCTCAATGATTATGACTTTTATTTTGGATTGCATTCTGAAAGATACAAGAGCTAGCGGTTTCTTGTTCCAAGATCTTTTGGTCGATAGAACACGAGATCAACTTTTATATATACGTTGTTTATGGAACAATGAGAAAGGTATATTTTTTCTGAAAATTATATTCTAACGTTGCTCGAAATCTTTGCAGTGAACAAAACGTGCCAATACTTTTTTATTCATGAAGATAAATACAATGTATATATTTTACAACCACTTATTGTCATGCAAATGGCACAGATGTGTTGTTTAGGTTTACAAAAAACTAGCATTTATGTTCGTCCTTTGATTGCTACTATAATTATCGGTTGGCTTCTTGGTCGTTTCTTTGATGCATTTTACTGGCGATATAAAATAGATATGCTTACCATATATTTTCTGATTTGGCAATTTATGTTCGTTATTGTTAAATGGGAATCAGAGGAAGTTCCAATATTTTCATTTGGTGTTCATCGAGTATGGTTATGTATGCCAGTAGCTTTTGGAGCATTTATTACTCATAATACCGTCTTTCGATATGTATCACCAAAAATAAAGTTTATCTTTTTCTGGCTGTTAGCTGCTGAAGATATGTAAGTAGATAAGTGAATTTATTGTTTTCGGACAGTCAAATATTAGTTTTTATGACAAACTTATATTAAGAAAAAATAATTTTCTTTAATCACAATTTAAAATTAATTATGTATTTTCTTATCTATATTTTTTGTTTTTTGTTAGGCTGTCTTGTCTACATCCACAGATGCTTCGTTATAATAGTGATTCAATAAAAAAACTTTCAGAAAAAAACCTATCTGATTTACATAATATTTATTATACTTGGGACATTGATGATGATAAATTCGATGAAAAAGATATTCTAATATGTCTTGGTATTGGTGATTTTTATGTGTTCAATTTGATGCTTTTAAATATATTATCTCCGTTATCATCAATGACAATAAATATGTGCATAACGATTGGTTATATCATCGCTGTACAAATTGGACAAGAAGGAACGGCTAGAATAGGATATTTTTGCAATCAATCGAAACAACCTGCTCTTCCTTTACCTATAGTTTCTGTTTTAATCTATAGTTTTTTGTTAAGTATTTTCATAGAATAATGGTTTTCTGTAATTAATAAAATAAAAACAAAGTCGCCAGTTTTTGTCTATCAAATACTTATCTAACTGGCGTTTTCAATTTAAGATAGTGTAGAAAGAATTTCTTCACTAAAAAATGTCATTCTAATCTTATAAATATTTCAAAATATGTTTATTTTCTTCACTCGATTATATGATTTGATATTGTAAGACTTTGAGCAAGTTGATAATAATATCTCAGTTTTATATTTAGTGTTCATAATGAAAAAAGTTAGTCTTGTTATATTGTTAAACATCAAAAGAATTTTTTTATCTATTTTTGAATATAAATTTAATCTCTTCTTGCCTCTGGTTCGACCTGAAAGTCCACAATCAAAGTTCACCCCGAAACGTCAAGTTAATGATTTGTAATATATGCAGAAAAGTTTTGAATCACGTCCGCTAAGTGCTAATATACTTATCATTTAGTGCTCGTCATCAGATTGAAGTCGAGATAGATTCAACAAAACATAATGTATACAGTGTTGTTTCGAACATAAATCTAAGGGGAGAAACAAATACAATCATTTCAACCTAAGGAAAATCATTTTGTGCCCTTGAAGAGTAGAACAAAAAATTCTTGAATTACTCCAAAAGTTTCGATTCACTGAGTTTGATCTTATTCACAATGTGACCTTGTGTATATATTTGAACGACAATAAAGATTCTTCGCAACAAATATTCGAAGTGTTGTTTCAAAATCTACGATAGATAAGTTATTATTTGATATAAATTTAGTTTTTACAAAGCATCTATAGGCATCACGGAACAAAAACTGACTAAAATTACAATTCAAATAAAAATAAATATCTACTGAAATAATCTTATAAACTTTGATTTCCATCAATGAATGATTCGAAAAATACATTATAGTTCGAAATCTTTTAAAGATATACGATATTTGCAATGATACTAGATATGAACAAGATGGTTCCAATCTCGACGGGAGTGGGACCAGGCCCAACACTTTCATATCTCTTATGATCGTGTAAACTTGTGTCACATATCATATTCTAAAGACTCATATGTTCTAAAAGTTTATGTGAAAATTATTGAGTAACAAGCATTTCAATATTTCCTCGTACAATTTTGATCGTAAAATTAATCCTCTTCTCCGTAAACAACAGAGTTGTCGAATACATAAACGTGCAGAATAGACAAAGTATTCGTAAGTTAAAAAACTAATGAATTTTCGAGAGGGAAGATATTAAAGGTCATACAAGATGTCTTGGACTCATTGATATTACTAGAAAATGATATTGCATTTTTCGCTAGTATATGTATTACTAAATGCGAACCAAGAACTAAAAATTTTTCTGACTAGAACTGGGATCAACAACGAATGATCCCGCTTATCACTAGATTATACTCAGACAATGTTAACATATATTCCCTTTTATTTTTTAACTTCTAATTAGAAATAAATACTTTATAAGATAATGTTTTATAATAGTAGATTAATATTTTGAATTTAATTATCTATAAAAAAAAAGCAATGTGATATTTTCATTTACTTTTGAAAATAACAATATAAATATAATTTTGAGAAGATTATCAACTAAACTAAAATTTTTATCATGATTTCATTTTCATTTTCATTTTCATTTCCACGTCTTTGGTGCAAAACAATCACAAATAAAAGAAGAAGAAATAAACAAACAAATTTATTTTTATGTTTATGATAAATAATCAGTACGTGTTGTTGTTCTTGTTACTTTAACATTAGGTGGATTAAATTTTTGTCTCATTAAATCTTTTTCAGTTATATTAGCTACAGTCATTGCATGTTGAATTTGTCTTTCTAAGTTTCGTATAGCTCTATCTCGTTGATCTTGTTCAAGTAATAATGGACGTCGTTCAATACGACTATTCATTACATCTAATTTTCTAGCATATTCATCTTCATTTTGATGCATCGATTGACGAATATTACGAGTCTATGACAGAAGAAAACAAAAACAATTAAATATAATTTAAGTATGTTAAAATATAGATTTTTATATTTACATTTTCTTCTTTTTTTGCTTTATATATTGTTGATTTATCTTGAAATTTTGCTTGTTCATAAATTTTTTCTCTTAATCTTTTTTCTTTAGCTGATCTTGATCTTTGAAATTTTTCTTCAAATTTTTCTTTTACTTCTTCTTTACGTCGTTTTTTCTTTCCTATAACTTCACGTACACGTTGTGCTTGAGTTATTTTTGTTGGTATAGCTTCAGGTTGTTGAAGATTATTTGATAAATTCATACCTGATGTTGATTTTATTGGAAGTTGTTTTCCTTTTATTTGAAATGTTTGTAAACGACGCATTTTTTCATCATGTCGAATATCATCAAGAACTCTATCTTTTCTTGTTGGAATTAAATTTGTATATAATAAAAATGGTTTACATTTTGTTGGTGCTCGCATACGTTTAGCTTGTTCAGATTGATGTAAAAATTTTGAATGAAGTTTATCATAATTTGGTATATGATAACCATTTGTTTTTGGTTTAAATGTATATTCTTCATAGCCCATACGTGCTAAATCATTTGCACTCAACGAACGTCGTATACGTTTTGCTTGTTGTTCACGTTCGTACATACTCGATGGTAGACGTGATTGACGAAGTAATTCTTTGGCACGCATTTCTTTTTTTATTGAACGATAAAGAGATTTTTCTTTCATTCTAAAACATACAAAAAAAAAATTATATGAATTAAAATTTTTTTGCTGTTGTTGTTGTTGTTGTTCAAATCATACTCTTCAATATCTTTGCTTGTTCGATAATAAAAATCGGGTAATGGTTTTGCTTTAAATTGTGGTTCATTACGAATAGTATCTCCATCTGAATATGAATGTCGTCGTAATATTGTTTTACCTTTTTCACGTGAATCAAATCCAAATGGTTTTGATATTGAATTTAAATATTCTTTTGTCATATGACGAACTTGTTCACGACGAATACGTTGTTCTTCTTGTAATTGTTCATATAAAGGCATACGAACATGTGCAGGAACAGGATTTGCTAATGAAAATAACATAAGAATTTCATTAGAATCTATGAAAATCGAAGATCATAGTGACAGATATTGTCTCAAATCATGAGTTGATAGCAAGTTCTATATCAGTAAGATTACCATCTACATATTCTTTAAGATGAAATTCAAGCAATAAAGGTAGTGAAGTTTTCATAGATTTTTTTTGTAGATCCATACGCACACCTACTGTAATTTGTTAAAGACAAACGTAAAGAGAATGAATTCACCACTGGCATTTTTTCTACGGGTTTCAATGAGACGAATTCATTAGAAATTTATATCGTCCCAGTCGGAGTGCTGTTCGAAGAACAAGAATGAGCATTTATTGCTGCGTATACAATACAAAAAAATATAGTGCATATAAAGAGAAAGATTGATGTATTGGCTATTGGTCTTACGAACTGTCAGTATTAAGTGCAATATTGACTTTTACTTTAAGTATTACATAATGAAATCTCTTCTTTTTAAAAATTTTTTAAGGTAATGAATATTAATATTACTATTCAAAATATTCTCTTACATGAAGAAACGATGAATTTTTAATATATATAATTCTGATGTAATAATTTTATTAATGAAAAGTATAAAACATAATATAATACATTATTTTTAATAAAATTAGATATATAAATCGAAATTTTAACTTTTGTATATAATAGATTATAGAGTAGCTTTAAAAATAAACTATTAAAACGAATTTATTCTCTTCTTGGTTGGGAAACCTTATACATATCGTTTATAAATAGTAATCGAATTCAAAGTTAAAAGCTATTTAAATTTTCAAACAAATTATTCGTATTTAAATAAAAACAAGAATATTTACCTTTAAAAGATTGTCGATTAAGTATAAGTTCATCATCAACTTCTTTTTGTAATTTTGCTGCTTGTATTTCATGCATACATTTTCTTCTATGTACATTATCCATAGCTATACTATTCGTTAAAGAAAATGGTTCTGGTACTGTCACACGACCTGCCCAACTAGTCGTTGTTGGAGCACTTCGAAGACGACGAGTTCTATACAACAACAACAATAGAAAAAAGGAAAAAGAAACCATAAGCATCTCAATAAAAAAAAATTTAATTTATTTTTTTTTGTTTTCATTTATCTTACTTTCTTTGTTCTAAGTAATCATCTAATTCAAATTCATTCCACATACTTTCTATTTGATTTTGAACATGATTTGTTGTTGAATCCTGTATAATATTTGTATTACCAGTAAATGTTCGATGTGGACAAAATGATAGATCATCATCATGTCGTCGAACTATATTTGTAGATATTGGATGATGATGAATATGATGTTCAGGTTGTTCTTCAGTTAGAAATATTGGTGATGATGATGATTGTCTTGATGCAATTGATAATGGTGGTTTTGATGTAATTATAGTTTCTTGTTTTCTATCTGTTTCTTCAGCATAATAAGGTACATCAAATGATGGTGTTTTCTTTTGATTATAATAATCATGTTCAACTTGTGCTAATCGAACACGTTGTTCACGACGAACATCTTCAATTGAATCAATAAATGATAAATTACTATCTTGATTATCATATTCAACTTTAGCAAGTAATTTTTGTTTATATTCTTCAAAATCTGATGTTGTATTATATGCTGAACGTATTAATGGATTAAGTTTATCGAAATTAACATGAGAATTATAATAATCGACTAATGAAGAACTAGCCATATTATGATTTAAAGCAAGAAAGTGAAAGAAGAAAATGAAATAAATATTAATGGATAAGAGTTCCAAACAGACATAATTTAATAGGTTACCGAGGTTCTCGTTGGTTTCAACCTCCAGAATGTTAATAAACGATGACTATCAAATGTCAAATAGTGACCTCTATCATTTATGAATTGGTACAAATATTCAGTAGAGTTTTTTTTTTCTTGAAAGTAAGTAATAAACGATAAATATACGTGCCATCGTACTTTTCTTTTTCGTCTATGTCATTTCAAGCTATACGTCATGATCCAACAATTAATAATGATGAATCCGTTGAGATTTATTTATCTATTGAAACAAAAAAGTTATTAGTAAAGGTATATTTACTATAGCCTATAAATCATATATAGAAAATACAAAAGAATTTGTTGCAATAAAACAAATTACTGTTGATCATACACAGAAATTGTGAATTAGAAATATTACGTGAATTAAATCATCCAAATATAATTAAATTAAAATATTATTTTTTTTAACAAGAAGTAAATAATCAAAAAGTAAATAATAATAATAATAATATGTTATATTTAACTATGGAATTATTTTCTGAAACTGTTTATTCACCAATTCAACGATGTAAAATATATGATTTTGGTACGGCTAAATATTTATTACCTAATAATATTAGTGTATCTTATATTTGTTCACGTTATTATCAAGCACCTTAATTAATTATTGGTTGTACATCGCGTATATAACCAGTATTGATATATGGGCAGCTGCATGTGTTCTTACAGAATTTTATTCTGGTGTACCTTTATTTAAAGGTAGATATATATATATATTCTCTTGTCATTATTAAAATAATATAGTTATTTTTTAACGTGACGACTTTGTATTTACGGTTTTCTTTTCGAATTTTTTGTTACTTGTGAAATGATCTTTGCCCGAATGTCTATTGTTCACTTTTAAACTAAATTCAATTCTATAATTCAAAATTTCTTAACTAAATTCGTATAAATTTTCTTTTTCTTTTTTTTTTCATTGATAAATTGTAGGTACTGATCAGAATGATCAACTTTTTCAAATCATTCTTCTCTTATGTGAACCCACTATCGATGAAATACGTGATATGAAACCAAAATTTGACATAATTATTCATCAACAAATTCACCGTAAAATATCTCTCATAGATAAATGAAAAACAATTATTGAACATTTAACATCTATAACCAAATCTGATCTTGATTGTATTCAATTTTGTTTACGTCTATTTCAATATTCACCTAATCAACGTCTGACAATATTATATACATTAAAAGATAAATATTATAATGAAATTCGTCAAAAAAAAAAAAATCTCTTAGATATTTATGAGAATTTGATCAAATTGAACTTCATTTATTTGATTCATCATTATTTAAATCCATTATTAATGAAAATAAATCTTCTCAACAACAATCAACAAAAAAAGAAAAATTAAAGATTTACAATCCTTGATTTCACTAAATCATGTATCAAATGAAATATAAAATCATCGAATAGTAGATTTAGTGACGTACATAAAGAAAATTAGTATGTTATTGTGTAAATATAAATATAAAGAAACAGTGCCCCTTACTATATATGATACTATGCAAATAGAAAAAAATCACGGAAAAGAATAGGATGTGCTCTCATACAGGTAATTTTATTTCAACAAATATTTAATATAGTTTCAACACAGAAAGATAGATTTGAAGAAGAAAAAAAAAAACTTTTTTTTTTCTAAAATGACATTTACTCTATTTGAATTGTCATCTCAAATGTATTCTATTATATATATATTCAAGTATGAATTTAGTCACACGGCGCGCTTACATCATTATCCACTTAAGATTTGTTTTTCAATCTATTACATCAAATAATTAATTAGTATGAACAAGGAATAACAAAAAAAAAAAAAAAAAAAAAAACGTCAAGTACATAGAGAAGAACATAGCGCGGCATCTCTATGACCTCTCTCTCTTTCTATCTCTGATTCTATTTGTGTAGGTGTATGATTTGTATGACATGTACACAAAAATTAAAGATCAATATATCCATTCGTTCACTTTGCAGTTCAATTCGTTGTATTGTTGTCGTTTTATTCTTTGTGACTTATCAAAGTTAATGCCTGACGAGAGTTTGACCATTCTCAAATTACTTTCAAACGTTTGTCGCCGACTAAAACTACGACTACTATATTATAGATGATGGCTTAAAATTCCTCTTAGTCATCATATCATATTGATCTATATTTAAAGAATGAATATGTATATGTTCAAAAAAAAAAAAAAAAGATATGTCGTCATTAAGAAGGCAACTAGAGTACTATTTGTTGTTCTATCTGACGAAATCAAACGAAAGAGCGCATAGAAACAAACCATCTGCCATTCAAGCCAATTAGATACACCTTTCTTTTGTTACATTATTTACATTTCATTGATCCAAGGATCAAAATTCTTTTTTCCTTTTATTTTTTTTGACGACTTTGTTCTTATTTTTTTTCTCTGTTGGATTTCGATATTCTCATTTGTGACAGACGCTTGTAAATATGCACTTTCATACATTAGACTACAACAACAAATAATGATCTTCAACAAACATAACAATCAATAATGATTAGCTTACAAGAACATTTTTTTTCTACTTATTTATTCCATTATTCTCTAATAAATCTATATAAATACCAACCACTGTGCACGATAGAAAATAGCAACCATTTGTTGGTCTTGTATATTATTTTCTTGTGTCCATTAATGATGATTAGATGTTCGTACATTAGTAATGATTTCCGGTGTGTACGCCTACGTATAATGTCTATCGGTTTGACTACAACAAGCTTTTTCCGACATGTTGTCAACTTTACAAGTGCAGTAATCTCTTCTCATTGATGATCTTTTTTTCTTTTTCTTTTTTTGTTAATACGAAGAAAGACAAACTAATTTATTTTTATGTTTGATGAGAAGAAAAAAAAAAGCATATCCAAGAAAGTGATCTTATCTTGATCCACTTGTTCAAAAAAAAAAAAGAAAGAAGTAAAAAAGCATAGATCCGAAATTATTTCCGGATGTCTGCCGGGCAAATTTTATATATAAAATGATTTTTCAAAATCATTTCATATTTACTTGATATCATATATATTATTCATATAACTTTTTCTTTTTGTTAGTTTCAAAGTCAATCATTTTTCTCACCTATATATAATCAAGTATATCTATATACATATACATATACACAGATATATATGTATATACATATATCAACAAAAAGAAAAAAAAAAGGTGAAACGTTGTTATATACAGCGAAAATTGATACGTTGCCTAAACTGCAAAAAAGAAAAGAACAGCAGTATTAGTAGTTCGTATATTAGAGTGTGTGCATAGTCTGTATTCTCTTATTTCTTAGTAAGTTTGTTGATGGTATTTCATCAATCTATGCGTAATCGATCTTTTTATGTATGGGTATTGTTGTTATTATAGATACACGTAGTTGTTGGGGAGACCGTCATTGTGTTTTTTTTATTGACAAGTAATGCTGATATCAAATAAGAGAATACAGAAAAAAGAAAAGAGAAACGATCATTTAGCACCAATCAATGATCTGTCCGATTGCTCTATAACTTTATTTTGATTCGTTAATCTCTTCTTTTTTTCTTTTCTTTTTTTTTTTTATTTCTCTTTCTCACTTTCTCCTTTTCTCTCATCGATTGTGTCTACAATGTTATATTAATCACAATTTTGATCAGTTATATATCGACATATCGTACATAGAGAAGCATCGACACAATATGAGTACAAGTCCATCATCTCGTAATAATACAAAAAAAATTAATAAAAATACAAATAATAAACATCAACAATCATCATCATCGTCATCATCATCAGTAGCATCTCCAGCTTTTCCACGTTATTTACCTCATGCTCTTTTATTACGTGCTACTGAACGTTATCAACGTACACCAAAATGTGCACGATGTAGAAATCATGGTGTTGTATCAGCATTAAAAGGTCATAAACGTTATTGTAATTGGAAGGATTGTGTTTGTGCTAAATGTACACTTATTGCTGAACGACAACGTGTTATGGCTGCACAAGTAAGTTAATAGAATTATAAGATAATGTTATTATTATTATTATTATTATTGTTATCATTATTATGAAAATTCTATAGGTTGCTTTACGACGACAACAAGCACAAGAAGAAAATGATGCTCGAGAATTAAGTGCTATTTATGGTACACCAGCAGAAGCAATTTTAGCATTACGACGATCACTTCATGCAACTGCTGAAGGTTTAGCAACAACATCAACTGTATTAGATGTTGAAGAAGGTGATACAAGTAATGATGAAGATAATTCAAATGATGGTAAATAAATAATAGAAAAAAAAAACAAATAAACTTTCGTTATGTTTAGTTGTTACTGTTGAAAAAGGTTCAACATATAATAGAATAAATGATAAAGATGTTGATGATGAAGATACAAATAGCAAAAGTCCTCATCCATCATCACCACCTGATAATCGTTCAACAAAATTGGCATCTACTTCACCTCCTGCTGTTCGATCAACAGATGAAATTGTTCCTGATCGTCCAACATCGCCTATTTCACCATCATCATCACCAATCATAAAAGAAGCAGTTACAAATCAATCAGTTCAACAACTTTTTCCTCTTCCATCAAATGAACATGAAATGTCTGAAGCTGTTAAACGTGTTATTGCTAGTGTCTATAGTGAAGCAACTAAATCAGCATTTAGTCCAATAATGGCATCAAATTATTTAAATCATCATCATCATCAAAGTCGTTTTTTTGCTGCACCTTATCCTCCACCTCATCCTCTTTATTTTCATCATCCACCTCCACCACCAATTCCATCATCAACATCTATGAGTATTTTATCACGAGCAACATCATTAGGAGGTGTACCAAGACATCAATCACATCATCATCGATGTATATTACCATTTTGCACATGTAAACTTGTTACACCATCATCATCATCATCGACAAACTAACATATGATGGTATTTTTTTTTTTTTGTCTCTTGCAACAAACAATTTTCTTTTTTCTTTTCTGTCTTCATTGCATATTGTGTGTGCGTGTGTGTGTTTTCATTTATATAAATATAAATATAACTAAGATAAATAAAAAATATAGAATGCCATTGGTCCATTACTTAATGTGTATGATATTGATTTTCTTTTTTTTTGTTTATTATGATTTTGTATCAGATAAAAAAAAAACAAAATCGGATGAAAATGATCATTTAACATTATCGATCAATTTTAAAACAATTTCTTTTTTTATTTTGTTGTTTTTGAATTTACAATATAATTGAAGCAATACTTTATTCAACACGCACGCTTTAAGTTTGTATAGTTTATTCTCGTGTCACTATGGAAAAAGAAGCAATACAATTCTATGTTGAGTCAACTAATTTGTTGATGTCTCTCTCTCAAACAATTGACAGAGATCAATAGTTTTCTATTCATGATCTAATATGTTGAATGTCAAAGTTCATAATAAAGAAAATCAAAACAAAAGAATTCTTGCCCTATTTATCACTATTGATGAAAGAAAATAAAAGCTAGATTTGTATTTGACTATCATTTAATCTTTTGTCTTTTCCATACAAGTACCAAAGACTTTCAATGTTTATCATCTATTAAATATAAAAGCAAGGGCGTATTGTTAAAAGCTTTTTCATTAAATCTAGCAATTTCTTATTTTACCAATCATAAACAATCAACAATTACATTTAATATATATTTCATTTTTTTCTGAAAAATGATTAGATATTACATAAGTTATGACTCTCATATGTAGAAATTGTGAAGTGAAATTTCAAATATACATCATTTTAGTTTCATTAGACTATGTGAATCTAACGTAAAAACCATCTTAATAATAAGACATGCACCGAATCCGAACTCTGGCTAAACGTTCGGGCTTGATCATGAACTTTGGCTTCGGAAACTATCCAAACCATTCAGACAATGTCGGATATTTGGGCAGTTACTCAAGTTTTTCTTGAGATATATGAGCAATCCGAGAATCACCCAAAGGTTTCATCAAGTTCGAGTATTTCTAAACATTGTTGACATTTTTTAGGAAGTCTACAGATCCTTGGTTGTCGAATCATTTATTCCACTGTGTGTAGATTTACCATAGTCGAATCTAAAATCTTTTCCATTTGACTTCTGCTTTCATTTATAAATTAACTGAAAATGATTGCATTCAAAAACGAATATAAACATTAGTCAATATATGATTGTTATCTAGAATTTTTTTTTTGTTGTTGTTGTTGTTTTAAGAATGTTTAGAACTAAAACCGAATCACAAAAACACATCGTCAAATACTTATCTATCATTTGAGCTTATATTCTGTTTTGAATTTAATATAAAATAATGATGCACATTGATTACATGTTTTTCTTTGAGACAATCTTGCATTCTACATGAAAATTCAACTAATTTATAGCAAAAACCTATTGTTTCAATTCTATTATTGTTAACTTTCAGCTCGAACTGATATTGTCATCTTTTTTTTTTGAAGTAAGAAATAAGTCAGTAGATGTCTCTATTTACTCAAATATCCTTGTATTATGTTATCGCAAGTGCTATCGACCTTGATTTCATAGTTAACAAGACATATTTAAAATATCATGATTATGTGTTTTGTTTTTTTTTAAATAATGATATTCGATCAACTTTTTTGTCTTGTTTTAAACTTATCCATAACAAAAGAACAGAGAACATAAAACACGAGCCGTAGATTGAAAAATGAAAAATATTTGTATTGATATCTGTTGAGAAGTATCACGCATTGGCGACTGGTAAACCTTCTGCCTATATTCGTAGAAAAGAAAAAGAATGAAATAAAATTTTTGAATATTTTAAACTTACTTTCTTAAATTCTTTCATATTTGTTGTAACAATTGGTGTTCCATAGAAAGTAACAGATTTAATAACTGTTTGATCTGAATCAGATTGATTATTTGCAAAGAAAAGCTTAATATGAAAGAACAACAAAATATTTTCTACAATTATTCAAATAAATAAAAATGTTTACTGAAAGTGATTGAACACTTTGAAATTTAACAAATCGTAATTCAACTGGTAAACCATCTCTAAGATGTTTCACTTCAAATCTGATAAAATAAAAAATAAATTAAATTAAAATAAAATTCAAAAAAAAAAACATTCAATTTTTTACTGAAGTGTTTGTACAGCTTCACTATTTTTCGCATCATTAAAATCAATTGCCTGTCGATTTATAAATAATTTCACAGTTTTTGGACCATTCTCTAATAATAAGATTCAATGGGATTATCGTTAAAATAAAATGCAAAACTTTTTTTTTTTACCTTCAGGTGCTTCAATAGCAATTGAATGAATTTTCACCACTTGATTGAATGCTATATGAAGAATCAACTAAATAATAAATTAATTATTTAAAAATTTTCTATTAATCGAATTTTTGTTTTTACTTCAGGATCATCTTCATCTGATTTAAACATTCCTGGTTGATTACCAAGTACAGCATTTTGCCATTTATCAATTTCATTTAAAGCTGTACAACTTTTTTCTTCAATAAATGGTTTCAGATCTGTCTGTAAATGTCATTGAAAAAGTTAATAATAATAATAATAATAATAACAATATGAAATTCGATCTCTTACATAGCCGACATCTTTTGTTGGTGTCTCTTTATAAAATTTTTTAATTGTTTGTTCAATAGGTTCTTTACTAGCACCTTGTAAACGTGCAACTTCTTTACCATGTTGAAAAAAGATAAATGTTGGCATTGCTTTTATTGAATATTTTAATGCTTCACTCTATGAAAATCAAAAAAAGACAAAGACAATATTTTGTTATTTATAAATAAATATTTATTAGATTTTTACTGTGCATTTTTCAACATCTGCTTTGAGGAAGACAACATTAGGATATTGACTACTTAATTGATCAATATATGGAGCAATATTTTTACATGGACCACACCTAAATAATCAAATAATTAATTAAATGAAAGATTAACATAAGTCAGACCATGTGGCAAAAAAATCAACCATAACAAGTTTGTCGCCGGCTGATGTTAATTCACCATTAAGAGTATCATTGGAAATTTCTCGAACAGGCATAGTGAATAGATAGAAATTTCTAGAAAAACAAAAGCAAAATATTGAGATGAAATCACTTTTTTCTTCTTTTTTTTTATTGCCGGCCAAAAAAAAGTGAATGAGAGACAAATAAACAATATGGATGATACACGTAAAAGAGAGAAAAAGGTAATAGAACGAACAATAATAGATGAAACGAAAAAGAAAGCGAATTAGAGAAGAAGAAACGATATTTGCATCATCACCAACATATTGTAAAGTAGACGAGACGAACGTAAAATAAAACAAAAAGAGAAAGAAAACATATTTTGGCTGATGCCACGTAATTTTTTGTTTATTTTTCTGATTAAAAATAGAATAAGTTCAAAAACAAAGACAAGAAATCAAAAACAAACGAAAAGCATGGAATTAATAGTATAGATTTTTCTATATCTTAAGTCATACAAATTGACTCAAAAAAAAAAAAAAACAAAACAAAATCTTAATGTTTCCTTTTCGCTTTGACTTTCAATAAATAAATTCTTATTATTGTTGTTGTTTGCTTTATTATGCGAAAAAGAAAGAATGACATCGAAAAACAAAAATCAAAAAAAAAGAAAAAGAAAGCTTATAGAATCGCGAAAATGTAGATTATAGATTAGTTATGTGTGCATAAATATCAGCCGGCGTGTTTCTTTTTGTTTTCCATAAAAAATTTTCTTTTGCTTTCTAACAACAACTGCTCGATGATTGTACTGGCTTTCCTTGGGTATTTATATTAACATTGGTTGATGGTTTACCCGACGGTCCTGATTGGACTGTTGACATACGAGACTTTATTTCTGTTGCCATTGTCATAAATGCCTGTTCGACATTGGTCGAATTTTTCGCCGATGTTTCTAAAAATGGAACATTTAATGAATCGGCATATTCCTATAAACATAAAACAAAATGATATTTATTTTGAAATTGAAAATTCAAAAACAAAAAAAATTTTGTCTTCTTACTTTTGCTTTAGTATATTCAACAGCTTTTTTAGCTGTTAAATCACATTTATTTCCAACTAATAATTTATTCACACTTTCACTTGCATAGCGATCGATTTCTTGAAGCCATTGTTTTACATTATTAAATGATTCCTGAAAACAACAAAAAAGAAATATTTCATATTTATCATTAGAATTATTTTTACTTGATCGGTGACATCATAAACAACAATAATACCATGTGCACCTCGATAGTAGCTACTTGTAATGGTACGAAATCGTTCTTGACCAGCTGTATCCCACTGGAAAAAAAAATTACTAATTACAAATTTATGTTTTTTCAAGGAAACTTACAATTTGTAATTTGATTGTTTTACCATCAAGATCAATTGTTCGAATTTTCTAAATGAAAAATTTTTCTTTTTTTATTCAAACAAAAATTTTTAATTAATATTAAACAAATTTACGAAATCAACACCAATTGTACTTATATAACTTTCGGTATAAGTATCATCCTAAAAATTACATAGAAATATTCTTAACAATAAATTTTATTTATTATTTAACTTACAGCAAAACGTAATAAAAGACATGATTTGCCAACACCGGAATCACCGATAAGTAATAATTTAAAAAGATAATCGCTAAATAAAAACAATTAAACATTCGTTTTTCTTTAATTCGAAAGAAAAAAAAAAGAGATAATCAATGACTTACTATTCAGGATTCATCTTGTATTATTATTATTTTTCTTAATCTTTGTATCTGATATTCAAAAAACGAATGAGGAAAGAGAGATAGATAGTGTGAGATCTCTTGTTGATCTACAAGATATGATATAAAAATCAAAGTACAAAAAAAAAAGAAAAAAATTAACTCAAAAAAAAAAACAGACAGGTAAAAGTAAAATTATAATGATGATGATGACTGATGTCGACGTTTATGTTTTAGGCAGCCTTTTTGAGATAAATTTGACCACCACGAGGATTTTTTTTTTTGCTTCTTTACCAATGATATTATATTTAAATAGAAAAAAATCTAAAAGATATCATAGAAAGAAACAAAAAAATGAAAACAAGATAAATATTCGAAATTAAAATGTTGAATCACAAGATTATATAGTGTACATTGGACTAAATGCATTTGTATTTTAAAAAAAATTCAAAAATAATATTTTATCATTGGAGAATAAAATAACCAATGAAATATAATGATTCATGCAAAGACAAACAGCTGGTATTAAGTAGAAAAAGAAAGACAGAAATTGGAAATCTATGAAAGCTTTTATTCGAACAGCTGTCGAACACAATTGATAATAGTAATCTATCGTTTTATTATAAAATAAGAACAGAATAAGAAAAGATTCTTTTAATAATATCATATTATTTAATATCTTTTTATTTTCTATCTAATGAATGGTATGGAAGAAGATGATAATCTTTCCACACGGTATACACATAAAGAAAATTATATATTAGTTATCTCACACAGGGTTATGATTTAGGAGAGAATGACGAGAATTTTTTCTTTTCATAAATGTCGAACTTTCTGCAAAGTTTTTGATATTCTCATGTGAAATTGTGGTAGAAAGGGAATTTAAGTTGTTTTAGCTTTGCTTCTGACAGATATTCATATAAAGATATTCTCTCTTAAATAAAATATTAAAGAAAGTTGATGATTTCAGCATCTCCTATTCAATCTCTGGCAGATAGAATGACGAACAACAACCCTTTGTGGCAAATCTTTACCCCTTTCCACCTTCAAAAACATGTTCTTTCGTTTTGAGTTCAAATATTCATTGATATTTCATTAAGAAATTTTTGTCGTATATACAACATTTAAATTTGAAAATGTTCGATTTTTTTAATAAAACTATTAAAGGATTACACATTATTAAAATATTTTTTATGTACATGCACATAATATAGATATAAGTTTGCATCAATTTCATTAAGAAAATGTAAAATTCGTTAATGAATCCCATTAAATATGTATCTCAGAAACATGTAAAAGAAGATCTTTTGCGTATGATTAATATCATATTGACTATTTCATAATGAATTAAAATATTGTCATGTGATATGTGATATTTCCTATTTATTTAATCCATTTCTAAATTCATACGTTTCATATCAGCTTTATCATTAGATACTTTCTTTTTCTAGGTTAATAACAATAAAAATACAAAATCAAATATTAGACCATGCTGAGTAACAACTGTTTTTTATTGTGTTGACTCAATAAGAAAATATTGTTTTTACAATATATCAAAATTATACACCAAAAAAAAAAAAAATTAAATGAAAAAAGACAATCGTTTTTTCTCTTAAATCAAAAAAAAACAATTTCTTAATAGCGACCTACTATGTTATATGTAGGCGTCTATTAGGAATAACCATCTGTCAAAGTCCTCATATGCGTCCCACTTAAAATTTTTGCATTTCATAAAACAAGTTTGCCCTTAAGGTACATATTTTGTACCTTATTTGAGTAGTTGTTTTTCTCTTCGGTAGATACAATGAATCGTATGCTAGAAGAAATAATCAAAAACTTTCTACAATAGACATTCGAAAAGTTTTTTTCCTAGCTCCATATAATTAATATTTGAGTTTCGAAGGTAGAAAGAACTCATATGAGTTATTTGTAACCTCGCATTTTTATAGTGAAAATTAGGACTTTAAAGACCGATCTTTTATTTATCAACTAATACAGTTTGAAAACTTGTGTTTGACATCTATTGACATTCTAATTTCTTTTTGCTAGATCTCAATGGCATAGACTTAGTTAAACAATATTTGGCAAAAAAAAAATGGCAAAATTTGTTCGTTAGACCTCTAGTTTCGATTTCGTGAATTAGTTTGTAACACTTCAACCCTCGACTTCCTCCAAATCTTTTCAGCAAAGGACAATCCAATTGCATATGAAGCTGTTTTCAGTCATAAATGTATTGATAACAGAGACGGGATCGATTCGTGTTTTTCTGAAACCGAACCGACGCTTTCACGTAATTTATGTTTCTTATTCAATGTTGAACAAAAAGAAAGATAGAAAGTCCGCTTCCATAGAATTGTGACTAAATATGAAGCTAGATTCTAGACAACTAGAAATATAAATTCATTTTCATAAGAAAATCTATCATAGAATATACGTTGTGATGGAAATTCTCCATATTTGAAAGAAAAAAAAAATGATGTAGAACTTTACAAAGAATAGAAATGTCAAATGTATTTTATTTCATACAAAAATAGATTACACAAAAGTCGAATTGCTTTGAAAGATCAGCTTCTTTATTCACTATGAAATACAATACGTGAGTTTTTGATATTCTTTTTATGCTCTTTTACTTCACACTATCAAAATACACTTGTTTTGAATTTGTTTTGACAAACAAAATACATATATTTTTTGATGAATATGTAGAAGAATAGCCTTGATATTTTGATGCTTCAAACATATAAAATTTAGTAGAAACGAAATTAATATTCTATAAAATAGTACGCAGATTGATGAAAAAAGACAGATGCATAATCTCAGAAGAATGTGATATCAGTGTGAGAAATTTTTCTAGTTTAGTCATTGACGTATATCATATTTTTTTTTAAAATTCATTCTGATTGTTTCTGAATTTTGATATTCTACGGTATTATTGAATTGTTGCGTAACAATTTTTCTGAAGAAAACAAGGTTTTATATTATATTTTAAATGATGCTACGCTATATGTTATCATCTATAGCCTAATAGAAGATCATGAAAAACTCATTTGACGCTTACGGAATCTATTAATCCTTTGGCTCCCGGTGACGTATATATACGTCCTGGCACTTGTTCTACCTCACGTATTGGCCAGTCCCTGCAGGATTGTTTCCTCTTAGCTTATTATCATTTTGGGATATTCTAGGATGGAAATATTCCTTCTCCTTATCACCTTCTATAGTACTATGACCTGTAAGGTCCTAAAGATCATAGGTTATCTCATTTTCCAACTTGTACATATCTTTTCTTTCTGTCATATAGATCCCTCTCCTTTCTCCTACCTTCGTGTATGACGTCATGTT